GTTCCTGGAGTTTGGGGTCAGGCTTGCAAACGCGCTGAAGATAAACTGGTCAAGTATTTGGTCCGCGAAGAGCTCAACCAGCAGACCTTGATTTCCGCCCTTCTCGACCCATTCAGATTCAAAGATATCTTTCAAAACCATGAGGAGCTTCAAGGCCGTGCCAAGCGCCTCCTTCGAGAAGAATACGGCCACTGGAAGCCCAGCCCAACTGAATGTGGCGAAGTCTCTCCCACACCTGCTCCTGCTACTTTGAAGCACCCTGTGAACAAGAAGCTTGCGCAGGTCTACTCCAAGTTGGGGACCTTGTTGACTGTTTCCACATTGTCCAACAGTTATGAGATGGACGAAGTCACCCAATACCTACGAGGACTTCAACCTACCCTGCCCTACGAGACCATTGGGCAATACTGGACAGTACATTTTTTTATCCTGTCCTTCCACTCTAACCTCTTACTGATGTCTCTTTCTTTTTCAGCGCATGTCTAAGCCCGGTGGCCTTCCAATCTTGGCCCAGGCCGCCCTTCAACACCTCACAATTGCAGCTGCTGCTGCCTTGGTCGAGAGGGTTTTCTCAATATTGGGAAACATTGCCGTACCGTCACGAGGCCGCCTAGACCCAGATGTAATTCGCCACCTTGTTATGGTCCAACACTGGCTTGCAAACCAGGATGCTACTCTTAATGTGGAGGAAGTTCCATGATATATTACAATTTTTCATTTGTTGATCATCTCGATTTGTACACTGATGTTCTTTGTTACAAGTTGTTCTTTACAGAAATGAATCGAATGTTTGCCAATATATATATAAATCCCCACTCAATCATTATGCTAGAAGACAAGTTGATTTCATTCAACTTGTCTTCTGTACCAAAAGTTCTCAGTAGAGTACTCATGAGTTTACTCTGTGTGTGTGCGTGAGTCTACTCACTTGGTGAGATTTTTACAGCGCGTGGTACTTACGGGCGGGCCCAGCATGAGTACCGAAATCAAATTGTTCTTTACGCACAAAATGGTTTGGGTATGGTACTCTTACTGTAACTCACGTGTAATGGTACTCACGTTGAGTACCGATGGGCAAACTCCGAGCAAATGAGTCGGAGTACACTCACTGCTGCATCCCTGGCTTCTATGGTCGCTGTTTGTCTCAGCAGCGCTCACTTGGTATTGATCTGTGTGTACTAATTCAAATCCATCACTTGAACTCTACAGCTTTTCACTGTTAATCACAATAGATCATCATCAAATCCTCTCTCAACTGAAGTAATCATCTTGACAAGATCCTTGATCAGCCTGGTCCATCCCCTGACTCCAGCTTTTCAAACTTGCACTGACTAAAATCAACAACTCAGGTGTGGTTACAGTGGTAGCGGTGGTCTCTTGGACTGTGCCAACTTTTGTTCATCTGTATTCCACTATTATTGATCTACAAACAGATCCAATCTTCTTATCTTGCCACCTCGCATGAGCTCAAAAGGATTGACGCCGTTACTAAATCACCAATTTTCGCAATGTTTGGTGAAACCTTGAACGGTTTGGCTACTATTCATGCTTTTGGTCACCAGGTCAGTGATACCAATAATTTAGTCATCAACTGTAAAAGTCTAAGCCAGAATTGAAGCTGATCAACGATGAAAGCAGAATTGATTTGTTAGTGAGAACGATTGTCAATTGGACCGAAACCAAGAATCATATTTTGGTTCAATTGTATCCAACAGATGGCTTGCTGTCTGGTTAGAGTTGATCGGAATTCTAATGATCGTTTCTGCTGCTGCATTAGCAGTCAGTGGGGTCATTGCGAACGTCAACGGATTAGATAGTGGGATGGTAGGAATCTTGATGCCATATGCACTTTCAATTACACTACCCCAAATTACAAATTTACCATGGAGTTTAGAAAAGTATTTTTTTTTAAAAAAGATGTCAACTTTTCTAAACTCCTGTCATGAGATCATGCACTATGCAACAAAATACAAGAGCCCCACATGCAGTACCAATACCCTTCCCAATGAAACACCCAACAATAGCCTTAGACTATTTAACCTGAACTCTTCACAATTTTGACTCAAGAAAAGAGTTGAAAATTGAACCAAATCTTTGACACATATTTTCAAAAGTTGTCAAGGCAAGGGCATCCTTGCTTATTGCTGGCTGAAGGATGAGAATCACTCTATTGGGTACTAAGCATCAGCTCCCATAGTTTGTACAGACATTTTTTTGTTCTATGACCAGCATAATCTCTAGATACATGAGGAGTGATACAAATGAAAAACATGGCATGTATACAAGCGTGATTTTGTTTCACTGCTCATAGCCAACATTCTGAAATATAAGTGATGAAAAGAAAATCAACCGGAAAAGCTACATAGTTTTCAATGTTTTGATCAATGTGTCCAGCGCAGGGATTGGGTCAACCTCTAAATCCTTGTATACAAGAGGATCCTCACGCGCCAAACGTTGGAGCCAATCTATGCGGTAGCAGTCAACTGGGAGCTTTGGAGGTGCTGGCAATTTGCTGAGAGGTGCGTTGTCTGAGCAAAAGCGGGGTCGAGGAGGCCGACCAGTCTTCTTGCCTGCTGATTTTGGGATACTCGACTTCATTCGTGAGATGTATGAATCCAATAACATATATAAATTCTTTAATTTGTCACTTCGCCATTCAAGAATTCGGATACGACATGGATTCCCATTTTTCTCTCCGCTGGGTTCTTCAGTGTCAGTCTCATCATCACTACATGTCTCTGATAATATCACTGAAAGTTGATAGAGCTCTCTTTTTGTGAAGATTGCATCCTCACGCAATTTCTTCACCTGTTCAAAAAATACCGCAAGCCTCAACATGAATAACAGTCACTGCAGAAGATTGAAAACAATAAGGACTTACCTGTTGTAATCTTGCAGCCTGACGAACCTTTGTTGCAGATTGTTTTTTTCGTTCTGGGTCCCACTCGCTCTAAGCAAAATCTATATTTGAAAAGTAATTCTTGAGATTATGTACTGCACCAGAGTCAACTGAAGGGAAATCAAGCTACATACCGCTTGTATAGTGATCGATATAT